ATATATATATATCATAATCTTTTTGTATTTCTATATCTAACATCCAAATTATAGTAGTTTACTTTCTCAAGTGATGAATGTGTATTTTATTATAGAAAAAAATAATACTAATGAGGACTTTGATTTAATTTAAAACTTTAGGTGCTAGTATATCAAAGTTTTGATGTTAGTTTTATAAAAACATAAGAATTGTGTGATATGCATGTAAATCTCTCTATTAATATAACATCTTAATCTTTTAAATTTTTCTAATATTAGTTTATTTGAAGTAATTACATTTTTTTCATGTATATATTTTGATGTTATTCAGGCACTATTGTGTTATATAAATAAGAGGGATGTAAAGTTCTTATGTATTTATGTATCTAACTCCTAATTTTTTATATTTAGGTATATAACACATCAAAATATGTGCTTGAAAATGCATATTTTGTTTTAAATGAGTAGAGGTTTGTAATATTTATGATGTGATTTAAAAATTAAAATGTTATATATGAGTAAGTCTAAGGATTTACTTGTTAAATATGTAAATATGTGAGGCTTTCATGATATGGTATAAACTAATTGGGAAAGTTATGAACTGGTCCAACATTCAAATCAGATAATCTATATTTACAAATTGTATGTTCCCTTGGGAGTTCGATGAAAGCAAAAGTATAGATTGAAGTTTGTTGTGAAATATTACAATGGATAGTTCTATAATATGTAAATTCTGAATATTAAAAGTTTTATAACAATTGTAACTATATTCTACTTGCTGTTATGAATCTATGAGAGGAATAATTTTAAATTACATCTAACAGGTGTTTAGTTTGCAAAGTATACATGCAGCCCATCTTAGCTTGGGATTTTTGACTCCCAACTAATTAGATCATGAGTTCAAAGCCTAAACTATGTCTCAAAAACATAATAATAAACATAGTATTTATTTTTTAATCTGAATTTTCTAGATATATTGTTATGGGTCATAATTTGTGTTATGATATTCAAATACAATTTTTTGAAGCAAATTATGAAGTTAAAATGTGTCTAATTGTTTAAATCAAGCTTTTGAGTACAATGATTCTGTAAAAAAAACAGAAGTTTGGAGCTCCTAACTCATCTTTCTTTTATGGTAAAATATAAAAAAAACAATCAAAATATAAAAGTATTTCAACATGAGATGCATATAAAAGAGTTATTTTCATCCCTATAAAACTTCTTTTACTAAATGAGCTTCATTTCGGTCTCTAAACATTTCCATGACCCAAAACTTTGTGAAAACAGAGCACAGGCCAGTGCAGAAGCGACTGGGTTCTCTGCCGCATTTTTATGAAGAGAAGAACAGCTGAGGAAGAAGCGGTTGGTCTTCCTCTTCAGAAACCACAGAGAGTAATTCAGCTCATCAACTTCATGAATGGGGAGGAAAGGGATCGCAGCAGCAGCAGCAACGTTTCTCGTTCTTCTTCAGGATTGAGCTGTGTCACTGAGAACAATGAGGAAGTCTCCTCGCCCAGTTGAGCTGTTGAGTTTGAAAGATTAAACAGATAGTTCATGCTAATTTCTTTGTATCTGTCCTAGGAAACCAGGAAGCACAGGCTGCCTTTTTAGCCTTCTCTGTAATTTGTTCTTCAATAGCTTTTAAATGAGAGAGCTTTTACTGATATTTTGCTTTCTTCTTAGCCCCTTTTTTCACTCTTCAATGCAAAAAAATATTATCTGCAGATGAGATGGGTACGGATTAGGTGCAAATAGATCTTACTGGTGTGGTATTGGTGGTTCTGCGGTGGTATTGTGATGATGTTGAGGTAAATAACAACCCAATGAATACACGCCAACAAAGAAGGACAGTAATTTTTCTCACCATTATTTCGCAACCAAACAAACAAGTTCAAACTAATTTCAATATGATTCCTTTTATCATTTATATTTTCATTTGCTTTTCAGCTTCTCTTTGAATTCATAAAAGTTTAACGAAATTGGGTCTTCCGGTGTGGTTGGTTTGGAAGTGTTGGAGTGGACGAGAGTATATTTTATTTAATAATTTTTAATAAGATTAGTATTGATATCACATCAATAAATTTTCATCTATGGGACGAATTTCAAGGCGTGACTAATCTGGAGGAAATTTTTTGAACAAAACAATGTTCAAAATTTTATTAGAAAATATTTAAAACTCAAGTTTCAACAAACTTACAGTGGCTTGATGAGATGGATCAAATGATATTAAAATTAGTTTAGTCTGAGTCAAATAAAGCTCCTATCCGGCCATTAAACTTTTTTTTTTTTGAAGCTTTTAATTCATATTTAAAAGATCAAATGGATTTCAAAATTGTTATGTTTATATTCAAATTAAGTGTCACGATAAGATGAATATAACAAGCTCAATATTACTCAATTCTGACATCATTAAATCACTTAAAGGTCTATCATACGTCATACGATCAAGGGAACCTCTCGGGGCCGTCTGATCGAGTGGTTTGAGTTTCTTCACTATTTTTAGGGCTGTCAATTTGGCTCGTTGTTCGCGAACAGCTCGTGTTCGGCTCGTTAAGCAGCTCGTGTTCGGCTCATTCGTTAAGCCTAACGAGTCGAACACGAACAAATTTTTAAGCTCAAAATGTAAACAAGCCTAACACGACCAATAGTTTGTTCGCTCGTGTTTGGCTCGAAATGGTATAAATATACATAATACATGTTCATAAAATTAAATATTATAAATTATAATTAATTATTAAATTTTTTTTAAAAATAAATTATGATATTTAAAAAAAACTTTTATATAAATTATAATATATAAAAAAATATTAAGAATAATATATTACTATTACTTATATACTATTATATATTTATAAAATATAAAGTACATATTTAATATAATATATAATAAAACATATGTACCCAAATAAACCCTAACAAGTAACAGTGCTCTCTATCTCATTCTCGTCTCCCGTCTGCCGTCTCCTCTAAAATTCGCGATCGCGAGCTGCCTTTCCCTCATTCTCCTCTGAAAATCGGCAAAAGGCTTTCTGGTGCGAGAGCTTAGGGTTCTCCGTTCATGTTCGTCTGCTAATCTCTAGATCTATTTTTCCTCGGATAGTAAGCGTTGGCTCGACTGCTCGGTTTCCCTCATTCTCCTCTGAAAATCGGCAAAAGGCTTTCTGTGCGAGAGCTTAGGGTTCTCCGTTCATGTTCGTCTGCTAATCTCTAGATCTATTTTTCCTCGGATAGTAAGCGTTGGCTCGACTGTTTGGTTTTCTTGCTTGGTTGCTTCGTTACTTACAGAGGTGTTAGATTTGAGTATATTTTCTCTATTTTTTCATATTTATCTCTGGATTCACCTCTTAGCTTAAATTTTCTTAAATTTCTTTTAGATTTACTTAGATTTTTTGAGTGAAACCTAGTGTTTTAGGGGTTTTGACAATGAAATCTCGCATATTACATTTAGATCTGGTTTTTTTTATGGATGAGATCTGTTGAAAGGGTTGTTGAAAATTTAAAAAAACTGATCTCTACTTCTCTTTCTCGGCAGTGTTGGCTCGATCGATTGGTATTCTTGTTTGGTTGCTCGATAAATTGTTTAAACTGTATTAAATTTCAGTTCAGTGGACTTAGTTTTATCAAAAATTTGATTGGCTTGATTTTTCAGATCTCAGATTTCGGTTTGCAATGGATCCGACCAATTTATAAATTGATTCAACCAAAACCAATCAAAAGTTCACCCCTGACATTTCTAGTAACTTTTAAACTTTCATATTTATATTGTATTTGCAGTTTACTAATGTTCATACCATTCAATCCATTAACCATGACATTTCAAAATGTAAATTACTACATTGATGCACCAAAGGTACTCTTAAGCTTTCATCATCTCTTCTACAGTGCCTCCTATTTTTCATTCAATCACAGTTGTTGGCACAAGCTTGCAAATTTATTGGAGAAAATGTCTATAGTTTTATATCTGAACAACGCCTATCTTGCCCATTGCTGCAACCCATGTAATTCCTATGCTGTTAGGGCTAATGGTTTAGCTTTTGGGACTTATATAATTATGATTAGTATAACTTCTTCAGAAAATAAAAATTGATAGACTTTATAATGCTTATGCTTCTATACTATTTTCAACCTTGAGAAGTTTTAATGATTATATCTTCCAAGACACATGACTTCTAAATTTATCTATATCTTTGAAGCCTCTAATTTTATGATTTTTTTTTTGTTGTATTTATATCTTTTTAGACTTTTGGCTTTTAAAATTATGAATATATTGGCTTTTAAAATTATGAATAAATTTGTACATTTTGATGCTTCTGCCTTCTAAGAATTTTGGATGTACGTGTATCCTCTAAGGCCTTATGATTTTTGAGCACTTATACCTTCTAAATCGTATGCTTTATAATATTTTTTGATATACTTATATCTTTTTGTCTTTCGTCTTTTGAAATTTTGAGATGCAAATGTAACCTATGAAACTTGTAACCTTTAGAGATTTTTTAAATGTGCCCATACTATTACTGACTTTTATTCTTCTGAGAAATTTAAATGCACCGATGTTTTTTTAAAAGCTTATATCATTTTGAAATTTTAAGAGAGTGGATATTCTATCAATCATTTATTATCATAGAGTCTTTCTATCATTTATTACTAGCTATTATTTGAATCATGTTTATGCATTTTTGACTTGGTAGTATGTCTACAGTGATACTAATTATGAGTTTTTGAGTTCATTTACAGTGCAAATATGTCTGAGCTAGATCTTTCACAATCTGAATCATCCAGCAATAAGTTGATAGCTATACAAGAAGCTCATAATAGCAACAAAAATGTCAATCTTACTTCGCAAGGTACATAGCAAGAAGTTCTGTTGATAGAATTTACTGATTTTGTTGTTTCATCTGGTTCTATTCAACCATCAAAATCAGATCTACAAGTCTATCTAGAGGAGGGTCTTTACTTGTCAAATCAAAATGAGAAATTTGATATTCTAGAGTGGTTGAAGTTGAACACTCTCAAATATCCTTGTTTGTCCAAAATGGCTAGAGATATACTATCAATCCCAATAACAACGGTTGCTTCAGAATAAGCATTTAGTATCGGTGGAAGGGTTCTTAGTGATTATAGAAGCTCGCTCTCTGCAAAAACGGTGAATGCATTAATATGCACTTCTAACTGGATTAGATCTTCCATAAGTACTTTTAAAACTCCTTTGGTAATTTTCTCTCAACAATTAGTTCTTATTAGTCTCAACAATTAGTCTATGTTCTCTTATTCCTACATAAGAAGACTATTCATAGGCTTAAAAATCCCTTGAAAATTAATTTTTAGTGTATGTTAACCATTTAATTTTATGTTCTTCTCATTTATTTTTTTATATATCTTTTGTTCCAACAAGAATTAATGGAAGAGGAACACCTTCAGGTGACTTTACCCGAGTAGATTGATGGAGGAACAACTTCAAGGCACATCTTCTAGTTGAGCTTTAGGCAAGCTAAACTTTATGTTTTGTTCATGGAATTATACTTTATACTTTGTTGATGAAATTATACTTTATGTTGAACTTTATGCTTACTGTGAGTAGGCCTTCAAGATGATATTCTTTGTCATGAGTTCGAAGATATAATGTTAATCTAGCATAGAGTGTGGACATCTTGTTTGAATAGGCCTACAATTTTCATATTTTCTTTAAGCTGATCGTATATTCTAACCATCTCTTCTTTACTTTCTCCTACTCAGATGTTGTTCTTAAAGGATGGTTACCTTGGACATCTCTCTATTTGCATGCTAGATATGATTCATATCTATATTAAAATGACATGTACATGACTGATGTGGATCATCAAATGCTATGTAGTATAAATCATGTGGAGAAGAAGTTTTTTCTTGTCTAAAATACTTTATAAGATTGTTTCAACTATTTCTCTCTCTCTCGCCCTCCCTCTCCTCTTTTTCTTATCTAAAATGTTATATAAGAAGTATTGAATAGTTTTTTTATTGTAGTATAATATTATGTTGCAAAGGCTAATAGCCAAATAGTCAATCTCAAAATAGTTGTATCTGTTAGCATCTCCATGGAGCCTATATATATATACCAATGCAGTTTGCCCTAAATAATAAAGACTCAGGTAAATGCTTGGGGGTTGTTTGGGGAAAATTTGCATATCATATAAGAGTGTTTAGGGCATGCATCTTTGTGAAGTTTGGTCTTTATATCTAAATGTGTAAACCCACGCTTTCTCAGAACGAAATTGTGTTATTGTAAATAGAAATGCTTAGGGGTTGGTTTTATAAATAATAAAGACTTAGGTGATAAACCAATAATTGCCCCTTTCCTTTTTGCACTTTTGAAAAATTAGCCTAGTGATCTGATGAATTGGCTAAGTTTGTATTTGTATATATTTTCTAGCTAGGCCAATTGAAGAAAATGTTGATGATCAATTTGTAGTTATATCATAGTGAGAGATTTTAATAAAATGTTTATCAACAAAAACAACCCTTGTAACTCAAAGGTAATAGGATTGATTTAGGTGTTACTTATTATGTTATTAAACCATTCTTAAATTTTAACGACTGAATGTTAAGATCAATGTGGTTAGCTGAGGTAAAAATGTTTCATATTTGTTAGCTTAATCTGATTTCTGGCATCTTCAGTGCTTTTGAAATATG